TTCCACCATGATTTGCAAATAAATTCTTTAAAAATCAGACAATGTGATTTTCTGGATTTTTTCCCCCATTTTGTCTCTCATAGTTGAGGTATACCTATGATGAAAATTACAGGCCTCTCTCATCTTTTTAAGTGGGAGAACTTGCACAATTGGTGGCTGACTAAATACTTTTTTGCCCCATTGTATATTTGCAAAACTCCTGAGGATTACAAGGATAGAGCAAAAGTATTTTTAATTAAAGAAAAGGAGAAAAATGATGAAGTAAAGGTTTCCAGGCAGCTACTTTTCTGGCCACGTGAGTCTTAATTCTGACATAGTTTCATTAAACACATTTAATGGAAACATTCTATAAAGGACCAGTTAGGACCTGAATTTTGTGAAGCACATATAAAATCACATATAAAACTGCTAGTATGAATTAGTGTTGGCTCAGAATGAAGACTTCCTTGGATAGTTAACACTTACTTTAGCCTGAGAGAAGTTAAAAGGGAATAAATTTCACATGCTCCTATCCATGCTTTAGTTCCTTGTAATCTGCTGTTGAAATGAGAAGCTCCTTGGGGATCAAAACCTTCTTTCCAAGCATCTTCAATGGATGTTTGAATTTTTGGAATACAAGGAACTGATGAATTATCTAAACATGAAAGAGGACAACATTCAAAACCTTTGAAAAGGACATTTTGAATTTACCATACATTTTTGTTCTCAGACATTGTGGAATGGGTTAGTCTTTACTTTTGGAAAATAACTCCTTTTGACTGATAGATATGCCTGTCAACAGGCATGATGTCAAAGAGAGGGAATTTCTCTCTGAGTGAGACTGGAAAAGACCTATAGGGATAATGTCTTCCCGCTTCAAAAATGGTGAGGTAAGGTGCTGTCTCTACGTACATGCAGGTTGATGGTAGTGTGGCTGCTGTTTGCCTTGATCTTAACCCAAGGATGAGAAGTTGAGAAAAGAGCTGTAAAAAATGGTGGTGCTCACCAATCTTTTGCTTTCCCTCCCTTCCTTCCCTCCCTCCCTTCCTTTTGCTTTGGTTCAAGCCTGATCTCTGGGATGCATTCTCTGCTGAACTGAGGGAACTGACCTCCTTGTTTGCATTTAAAAAGGCCTTCAAATACATTTTTTCTTCTAACAGGGTTTTATCACTGATATTTTGAACCAATGTATAATTATTTTAATAATTCTGTTCTTGGGCAGTGGATGCAAAATGTCACTATTGTTAATAATATAAAAATATTAAATATTATAAAGGCTTAATATTAAATAAAATGTTCTCACTATTAAGGAAGGTGAAATATCTAAATGTTTGATGTTGTACTAGAAGAGTAGAGTCTCTGCAGGCTTTGGACACGACTGAATAAAACAAGTTCCTGCCTGGAAGACTACCTTTCTTTTTAAGTATTGCCTCTTACTAACTATTATTAAATTACATTCAAATGGTGTCACAGCAGTGTGCTAAGGTCATGTCAGAAGGGAGATGTCTACTAGTCAGACAGGTCTGATCTGGGAGATGAGAAGTGATTTCTTCCTGGAAACCCTTTATGTGTATTGAGAAACTTCCCAAAAGTAAATGTTCCCCATCTCAGAATCAAAAGTAGAATGGTAAATCACAGTAGATCATGTGCAAATCTACTCTGAAGTAGATTCCATTAAATGTAATGAAATTTATAACAAAGTACATACCCTTCAAGCAATCTTTATAGGAGCTATTTCTCAAAAGAGAAGAAAACAGCATTTGGAAGTTCCTATAACCACAACCCCAGCCTCTGTCTCCAAGAGAACAGTGGAAGTGATCCACTCCTGTAGAAAGCCATGTGTGCTTTATGTCTTTGCATTCATTCTGATAGTACTGGCACAATGCTTCAGTAATTCCTAGTTAGGGGAAAAAATTATATAGATAGATGGAAATGGAGAAATACTGTATTAGCCTAATTTACAATTTCTTCAAATATGCAGTTTTACAAGATATGACTGATTATGTGCCATAAAGCCAGGGTTGACTCTTAGCAACCACATCTAGGATAATCTGTCCTCAACCTGGCCCTTCAGGTCTTCCAACAGGGTACCCATCAATGCTGTAATCCAACTCCATCTGCCTTACTGCTGGTGGTCCTCTTCTCTCTTCTTCTCCTTTTCCAGAATTACAGACTTCTCAAGACAGCTATATCTTTGCACAATACATCCAGAATATGATAATTTCAGCCTGGTCATTTGTGCTTTGAGTGGTCAAGGTAAAATAAAATCTGGGTAACAAACTGTTGAAGAATTCTACAAGGAATAAAGACTGGTTTCATAACCTGCTTGGAGACAGGAGTTTCATCCTATTCCTTAGCTATGGATTTAATTTATCATAACAACCTAAAGCAGGTGTCTCAAACTATGGAATTTGAGGGGATCTAAATTTTCTTGGGCTTTTACATATGGATCATTGTCAGAACTCATTTCCATACTGCACAGAGATGACAGCAAAGTCAGATTTTCAACAGCTCTGTTATAAAGAGCAAATATCAATCCAAATGTATAATTTTTTTTTAAAAAGGGATATATGTTTTTGTCTAATCTGAACTCCAATGAAATAATTAATTTTATTCATAGAATGGCTTACACGAATTCATTCACAGTATTATTAGTAAAGTCCTACTGCAAACATTCAGAACAGTCAAGATCCATATAACCCCAATCCTGCTGTGCTTTAAGAGAGCCTTAAACACCTGGTTCTTCCCACAGCCACTGGAGCAGGACACGGTGTGAATTCACCATTTGAGTAGATATTGTTCTGTTACATTTTTTTCCCCAGCATGGCCGGTTTTTACTATTGTTTTAATTTATTGTTATTATTTTGACCTATAAGCTGTTCAAAATCACTGGTGAGTGGGAAGCCTTAGAAATTGAAATTATAAAAATAAACAAGCACATTTGATTTTACTCTAGTTAATATACAGTGGGGCAAAAAAGTATTTAGTCAGCCACCAATTGTGCAAGTTCTCCCACTTAAAAAGATGAGAGAGGCCT